TTCTGATTGTGGTAGCAGTGAACTGGAATTGGGGAAACAGAGCACAGATTTGTGCAAACTTGTTGATTCAAGAGCAGAGGGGAGGTTTAAGAAGTTTGTTTTTCAGTTTGCACTCTTGGTTGCAGATATGGGACGTCGAAGATATATCCCTCCACCTCGGCAGTTCAAGGTAACCGATCAAAGTGAAGATGGGAAGATTGTTTTCCGTTCGTGGATGATTGAAGACAGCCACAAGGTGACCGATAAAGACAGCCCAATTCCAGAAGCTCCTCCACAACTCCAAGCGGTCAACATGCCCGCTCGATTTCACAGGGTGATCACCGGCCAGGTTGGACCCACGATGCGGTCCCGGACTATTGAGATGACTTCTCCAACTCCATCTCCACCACAGCAGCCTGCTCAAATGTCTACTGAAGAACCTCCATTACCAGATTCAACACCAGTTGTATCACCGGAGAGCAGGCCAGCGAAGAGGAGTCGTCTCCAGCAACCGAGCTCATCTTCACGTTCACAGATGTGTTCTTCTTCAGCACCTGCATCATCCACGACACCACGTCGTACTAGCCTCAGTGCAAGCAAGAAGAAGGCTGGCACTCCTCCTCCAAAGGACGTCTCTAAGACGTTCGGTAAACCTGTCCAGCTCCAAAAACATAAGGAAGAATATGCCGATCTGACGAAACGAGCGGTCACCCCTTCTCAGTTCATGGACTATGCAGCATTGCAGAAGACCGAGCGGGCTGAGGAGGTGATGACATACTTCCGCTGGATGAATTGGGCACGATTTCCGGAGCTGCACTTCCCCACCTATCCACACCTCACCAGAGCATTCTTGGCCACCTACAGCTTCGAGGATAATGGGGTTGAGAGCAAGCTTCAGAATACTTTGGCCGGGAAAACCAAGTCCCTCTCTTTGAGCCAAGTAAACCGAGCACTTCTCTTCGATGGTCCAGCAGATGCAATTCCTGATGAAAAGCAGGACTTGAGTGAGTTTTGGACGACAATTGTGGCAGATGGAAAGGACTTCAATCCTACTTCTTCGAAGAGAGCATCGATCAGAGACCCGATAATACCACTAGTACATGACTACCTGGCTCGCACTGTCTTGGGAAAGGGATCCAATGCCAGTGGTGTCTACACCACCGATCTCAGGTACATTCACAGTTTTGTTACTGGAACACCAGTGTGTGTTGGGTATATGGTGGGTAAGATGCTGGAAAATGATGCACTGAAGACTTGCGGAGCAATTATGTGTGGGGGAATCATTACTGCCTTAGCTCGAGCTTACTGGGGGTTCCCGGAGAACCCTAAGGGTTTAGAGATCAGTGATGGCTCGACTCTGCTTGGGGAAGCAGCATTAGGCAAATTGGGTTTTCTGAGGAAAGTAGGATCTCGTGGAGAGTATCTATCTATCGCCAAATACAAGAAGTGGGAGACCAAGGTCAATCGGAAAAGGGAAGCAAGGGCTGCTAGAGCAACTTCTGCTTCGGCATCATCTGCCGCACCATCAGTGGCCACTCCGACCACAGCTCCAGCTCCTACACCCACAGCAACGGGGCACTCGGACTCGAGTGTCAGCCAGGGCCAGCAGTCACATCCTCCAGTTCCGCATCCTGAAGATACTCCATCAGTTGTACCAGCTTCACCATCATCTGCAGATGAGCTCATAGCCAGAATAGCTATCCTGGAAGCCAGAGACGCGGAGAAAGATAAGAAGATCCAAGAGCTAAACCGGCGCCTAGATGAACAGCTCGGCACGTTTGCATCGACCCCTCCTTCATAGGAGCTTGTCCCGAGGTTCTTTTTTCTTTTCTTCTTTTCTTTGTGAATACTTCTGATTATGGTCTGTAATACTGTTAGTTAGGTGAACCTATTGGTGTGTCGTGTGTAGTTGTAGACATTGTGGACAATGTCCATCCTGAGTGTGGGGTGGATGGTCTGTGTTCTTGTCGTGTTTTGTGTTTTATGTCGAGTCGTAGTTGTCCACAGTGTCTCGTCTTGTGTTAAAAAAAATGCCATTAGGTTGTGCACAGCCAAACTGCATGCAATTTGCCTGTGTAAAAAGCAGGTTGCCTGTGTTAATCTAATGGCTAAAAAACACCTAAAAATCAAAAAAATTAAAAACAAAACCTTGTACTCTTGTGGTAACATGATGTAAATGACTGTGATGCGTGTGATATGAGTTTGTGCTTGAATGAAATCATCGAAATCACCCCACTAGTGTTGAATTGCATAGTTCTTCACAATGAGCTTGAATGTTTTGACTGACTTGATGTGCTTTGAATGAGCAAACTCTTTTAGCAACATTCTCTTTTGTGAGGATAGTGTAACGACTTTTGGTGAAGTAGTTAGGTGGAGAACATTGACCATTCGATATGTTTGGATACCGTGCTTACTTGCTTCAATTGTGAGCTTTGATTTGGCAATGAGTCTCTCGGTTTTGAATATTTTATGATGGGGTGAACTGTATTTTCATAAAAGAAAACACTACCTGACAAGAAAAATATAAGAAAGTTGCCATAACAATTAAAGTGTGGGTAAAAATGCCAAAATCGTGTGAGGCAATCACTCATTGCACATGGGGATTAGGAAAGATTCAATTGAGAATCGGTTCGTGACCGTACGATGTTGCTTATCAAGTACGATCCCCAGTTGAGTGAAGTGCCATTTGAGGATGCAATGACCCTCCACACGGACCGAGGATAAGGAGTTAAAAGAAGCCCTTATGCGAGTGCTAAGAAGCAGAAATTGCTCTTGCTCGGTCACCGGTAGTAAGAAACAAATCCCACTTGTACTAAATACGACTTCTCGGCAAGCAAAAGCAGAAAGAGAGAAAGCCTCTCCTTGTCATAAAAGGTAGTGATGTGCTTAAAATCAAAATCTTGTTTGCGAAAGGCTTCCCCCATTAGTTTTTGAGACTCATGCTTAATTAATTGCTTATGATTGGTGTGAGTAAGCCAGATTGTCCTCACGAGATATGCACCTCACTGATATGGTTAGATTCTCCTAATAACTGTTGCACCATAAGTTGTTAATCACCCGCTACTGACGACCTGAATTGAGTGTTGCTATTTGAGTTTTGATGGATTTGAGTCAGTCAATGGTTAAGGGTTGCAAAGACCTTGAGTGTGGGGTGAAAGGTATGACCATGAAAGCACAACTCGTCCGTTGAGAAAGAAACTACTGATTACAACAAGAGTACAAGGAAATTTTGTGTTTTGGTTTGAGTGTTTGATTAGTGAGTCTATAATGTGTCATTGTTTTGGATGATTATGTGTTTGTGTTGTTTGAGTCGTTGCTTAGGGACAAGCAACAATTGAGTGTGGGGTTGTGATATTCGGCTTTTACATATTGAATTTTTGGACTTTATGTGATTATCCATGATCTGTTTTAGCCAATTGGTGCTATTTTAGGGCTCGCTAACCCGAGAATGGTTGAAAAACCATTACTGCCTAGTGCCATGAGTTTGATGTGTTACAGGTGGAGAAAGCACGAAAAAGGAGCGAGTGCATGAGCAATAAATCGGGCTCGAACTACTGGTGGACTAATCACTTGGGCTAGGAGGATTATTTGTGGGCCGGGCCTATTATTGAAGGAAGCATTGGCTGCAAATTAAATTTGGAATTGGGCTGGGCACTGTTTTGGGACAGGGAGCGGCTGACTTTTCGTGGAGGAGGAGAATTATTGTAGAGCAGAGGGCGGACTGGATTTGTTGTTGATGGGCCGGAATTCTCTTGGATTATTGACAGCAGCTAGCGGCCAGGAAATTGAGGAGGAGGCGGAATTCTTGGAAAAGAGAGGAATTAAGTGGGTGGCACTCTTAATTGAGGGATTTTTTTTATTTTTTCTGGGACGGGGGGAATTCTTGGCAGAGAAAGAGAAAGAAAGCGCAAGGCGGCAGAGCAAAAGGCGATCAGTCGATTTCCATCGGCGATTGAGATTTCCAAGGCTACCTGAGCTGAGTTCAACGAGAGCGATTAGTTGGTTGGATTTTCTAAACCTAATTAGTTGTTTCTTGTTGTTTTAGAACATGATGAACAAAACCCTATCGATTTATCTTAATTTCATGATGAACTAAACCCCAATTTCTGGGAGAAACACCATAGGATGTAGCTATTTCTTTATTTGATGGATTGATTCATGATTCTTTTCTTCCAATCTCTATTGCATGGAATTGCTTAATGCTTTGTGTTGACTGGCCACCAATACAACGATTTGTAGTTAATTAGGTTATTAGCGACAGTGAAACCCTATTAGCTGAACATATTTCATGTGACATAGTAACTTATCGAAGCGACAGTGGATTAAATAAGGTGCTATGCGGTCTTAAATAGGATATCAATCTTCAGACTATATAGTTAATTCATTGAGCTACGACAGTAGGATTTGAATTGATTATTTAGTACGTAGTAATTCCCGACAGGGATAGCTAGCACATTCGTGATATCCTGGCTGTAGAGAATTGGATTAAACTGATTAGAATATGTGAATTAATCTGGATAGGATAGGTAGTGAATCCCGGTGTTTCTCCCAGAGCTATCTCCCATTGATTTCAACCCGACAACTTTAATTTGTTTGTTTTGTTTAATTATTAGCTAGTAGTTTCATCACTCAAACCATTTTCACTTATAGTTTGCTCCATAGAATTGATAAATTAAAAGGTTGTACCAGTCCCTGAGAGACGATACCCGGACTTTCCGGTTTTACTACGAGATAGGAATTGAAGGCATACGCTTTTGACCTATCAATTTCAGATCTAACCATCACTACGATAAGCGGTTTTTCCATCGTCGATTATTGAACGATTAGCGGTTAATACAATAATCATTGGCGAAGTTGATAACGTGGGAACAGAACAAATCCATGGGCGGAAGTCGACTAATCGTCGAACTTCCGATAAGAGACCGTTTTGGGCCACAAATTGGGCTGCTCTATTAAAAAAAAAATTTGATAACGTGGGCTACGTAAAACGACGTAACAATGTGCGTTTTATCTTAGCCGAAACATCCAACCAAAACCTCCTTGGGGGAAAGTCCAGTCCACCGAAAAGCGCCGAATCTCAGTCAGACGCCATGGCCGGACTCCTCGCTCTCTTCTCTCTCTTCCTTATCCTCCCGCTCTCCGCCCTATCCGACCCGAACCCGAAACCCGTCCCTCCGACCCAAGCCCACGCTGAGCTCACCACCTACGGCTTCCCAATCGGCCTCCTCCCTTCCTCCGTCCAGTCCTACTCCCTCAACCACACCTCCGGCGAGTTCTCCCTCGACTTCGGCTCCTCCTGCAAGATCACCCTTCCTCCGGACAACTACCTCGCCACCTACTCCAAGACTGTTAAAGGCAAGATCGCCCAGGGCCGGATCGCTGAGCTCGACGGGATCCGCGTCAGGGCCTTCTTCAAGTGGTGGTCGATCACCGGAATCCGGTCCGGTGACGGCGAATTGGTCTTCGAGGTCGGGATGGTGACGGCTAAGTACCCGTCCAAGAACTTCGATGAGAGCCTCGAGTGCGAGGGCAAGCGCTCGTCTTCTTGAAAAGGTTCGAATTTTGTCCCCAAATTTTGACCTAATTTTAAAATGGTTACTGGTTAGGGTATCGAAATTTTGTTGGTTTCCTTTTCCCCGTTCTCTTTTGTATGGCTTTGGAGTTCGATTGGACGGTGAATTTGATGATGGATCCGTTTGCCTTTACGAATTACCTGGATTATCCCAACTGAAGTGGTGTTTTTCGAAAGTGATCTGCTTTATGCTTAAAAAGTTCCATGATTTGGCTTTTATGCTTGCCAAAAGAGGAATTGGACGGTTCATTGGAGCATCTCCACTATTCAATTCCTTATCATCTGCATTGTTTTTGTTGCTATGGAGTGTCGCTTTCGCAATTTCTTAGTCGATTTTTGGTGCATATGGTTCATTACGTATGTTGCTGAATGATTGTTCCCAGGGAATAAAGCATATACAGATGCCGTTGGTAATCCTTACTGAAATGATTCTGAGTTGAATTTGTGTGCCTAAATGGTTCCCTAGATATGGTGTCAATGTCATTTTGAAGCTGAATGTTCCTCTGCCTGATGGTTGTACTCGTAGACGGTTTAGTTTTGGCGCAAGCTGTTAATTTCAAGGGTTTCTGTCTTTCTGATTGATGGTTATGATAGAGATTCTGAGCCTTTCATTTCAATGATATCCTTGGTTATAAAGGAAGTATGAAATCTGTTATGGTGTCTTGTGAATCTCATTAACAGAAAGCGGACAGAGATATATCGTTTTCTGAGCTTTTAGCTATGCCTTCCTCCCATTGTCTATACACTTATTTTCGTCGGTATATCCTTGAAATTGAAACTACTTCAAGCCTCTGTTGTGGAGTAGTCAAGGCATGCTGCTTGGTTCCTGTTATTAATGACTTACTGTCCACTGTCTTATCTCCTCACTAACTTTCAATCATTGATCATGCAAGTACTTTGAGGAGGGTCTATAATAACTTTAGCATGCAGAATTTGAAAGTTATGACAAAAAGCTTTTCTATCACTTAACTGCAACGTGATGGTGATGAAGATGTCTGACAACAGAAACACCTGTGTGGCTACTCTAAGGCAGCTAATGCCTGATGATGGTTTTCCAAGTTGGTATATGTATGGGCAGTTGGTGAATTAATCCGAAAAGCGCTGCTTCCTATTCTTTTGTGTGCCGAGATTCCGTCCACTATGTCTGATCTTTATATGCTTGTATTCTGTGTGTGTTTGAGTTTTTGCTCTATTCATTGTTTCGGCTTGCTTTTCGCTTTCCTGGTGTGGATCTTCGAGCTAATCTGCTCTCGTCCTCTTGCAGAAGTTGCTTCAGAGAACTGCTTCCTTCATCCGGTCAATTGGGGTATGAACTGTAAGGAAGATGGAATTTGCAAGATAACGTACGTCTTAGATATTAGAGGGTCATAAAGATCGACTCTTGTCATGCATGTGCCTTTAGTTTCAATGTATCTGTATATATAATGCCACTCGGATATCTGTAGCAATGTGAAAGCGGATTGTGCTTTCTAGTTTGTGTACTTGTGGAAGGGGATTTGTATCAACAAGATTGCTTCTTTGTTCGGCCTCTTTGCTCTTCTCCGTGTATCTACCTATATCACAAAACTCCACCTCCTTGCAGAGGTTATCATAGCAAGCTACAAGGGCTCGAGCATGCTAATGCTACTAGTTCATGCTGCTATAATGTACCCTCTAATTCTTGCATTATGTTATATCTCATATAGTTCTTCTTGTTTCATTTTGGATGAAATGTCATGTTATTGGTACATCATATAACTTGACAATTAATGTTATCATGTTGAATTATATGGGTCTCATCATGAATACACAATTCAAATTTCACAACCCCTTCTACGGAACACATAATATGTTAATCACATCATTGAAAATGTTTCTCGTTTAGATATTTCCAAACTCTTGATTGAAAAAGAGCATAACAATTAGTTGATATAAATGGAACTAGATCTCGAATTCAATTCGTTTTGGTAAACCAAATCGAAGTGGTTGGTTTCAATTAACCGAATTGATTTGATCAGTTACGACAAAACTCAAATTGATAAGTGCTATATATTTAGGGTTTTTTTTTTTGACAAAAGATAATCGCATATTGATTCAAAATAATATAAAGTTACATCCTGGAAATCAGCCAGGCCCGAAAATCAAAAGAACGACTCATAGTCGGGTCCAAAGAGAGGGCTTTACGAGCCACCAAATGGGCTACCCTATTATTACACCGACCTACAAACCGAACACTAAACCCAGAATAGCTGTTAAAATATTGCAGAAGTTCCTCCAGAACAGCACCAACTCGGTTATCTCTGGTATCCGCCTGATTGATTTTATCAATAATAACCTTGGCATCCCCTTCAAACTTCACTGCCGAGAGTCCGAGCTCTAGGCACCACCGCACCGCCTCGCGAAGGACAAGCAATTCCACCACCCCAGGGTCATCCATGCCAGGAAGCTGGACCCCTCTCACCAACCAAACATCCCTTGCCGGAGTAAAGAGAACCATCCCCCAGCCGAATGCGAGCCCCTCCTAACTGCCCCATCCCACATACAAACAACCCTGTCCTCCCCACCAAGACCCAACTGTTGCGTCCCTGGCAGGTCCACCATAGCGGGAGCCATCCGTGGGACACGTTCCACTGGTAGCCGAACCCACTCCTCATACTGCTGATAAAACTGACGCATCAAGGCCGGGAACCCAAACTGCTTGCCTTCAAAGACAACCCAGTTCCACGAACGCCAAATCCGCCAAAGGACAGCAACCACGACCATAAAAAGTGGTGGCTGATGAATCAAGGCCATTAGTCGTTTCAGGAACAGCGGGAAGGTATGACGAGGGAGCCCCTCCCCAAGATAGGCTAGGCCGGAGTAATCCCAGATGGCCCTAGCCACCGAAAAATAGAAGAACAAATGCTCCATCGTTTCTGCACTGGCCCAACACACCGGGCATCGAGGAAGCACCGGGACCCGTTTCTCAATAAGGGCTTCCGTGGTAGGCAAGATACGATTAAAAATCTGCCAGACAAAGACTTTAAGCTTCGGGGGGATGTCAGCCTCCCACAATCGAATCCAGGATGCCCTATCCATCCACCCTACCATGGATCTCCAGCCACCTCTCCTCCTATCAATGTCGACAGCTAAGTGGTAAGCAGACTTGACCGTAAAAATCCCATCCGTTGTAGCATGCCAGATTAACTTATCAGCGACATTCTGTATCGGAAGGGGAATAGCCTTAATGGCCTTACAGGTCAGAGGATCAAACCATTGCTCCAACTTACTATCATCCCAAAACCCCTCACCTGGACACATAACTTCCGCGACAGGCGGTCCCCCCCCCCCCCCCCCCCCCCCCGGCAAAATTTGAGGATTACAATAGGGGGATCAGCCTGAAGCCGAGGGATCCATTTTGATTTAAGTAAGGACGCAGTTTGACCATTCCCAATCTGCCACCGCAACCCGTGCTCCAGAAGCTGTCGACCATATAAGATACTTTGCCACCCCCACGAGGGTCGAGATCGAGCCGAAGCATCAAGAAAGGAACCATTGGGGAAGTACTTGCCTTTATACACCTAGGCCAATAGGGACTGGGGTTCCATCAGGATACGCCACCCAATCTTAGCAAGCAAAGCTTGATTAAATTGCTCAAACCGGCGAAACCCCATCCCCCCATCATGCTTACTTCGGCACATATTTCTCCAAGATATCCAACGAATCCGAAAATGATCCTCCACATCACCCCACCAAAACCGGGCCACATGTCTGTCCAAGAGGCGACAGAGTGAAAGCAGAAGCTTAAAACAGGACATCACATGTAGCGGGAGTGCCAAAGCAACTGACTTAATCAAGGTTTCTTTAGCAGCCCACGACAACGTTCTCTGTTTCCACCCCTACAGGCGCTCAAGCAATTCTCCTCCAGGTACCTGAATGTGGCCATTTTAGAACGAGCAATCAAAGTTGGCAATCCCAGATACTTATCATGGACCCCTACTGCCCCGACACCCAACACCACAGCAAAGAACTCTTGGTCCGGGCGAACAATATTCTTGCTAAAACAGACAGCTGACTTCGCCAAGTTCACCCGTTGACCGCTCAATTCCTCATACTCATTCAGGACCTCAATCAAATTCTCGCATTCCCGGAGAGTACCTCGCAAGAATAAATAAGAATCGTCTGCAAAAAACATGTGCGAGATCCGGGGTGCTCGAGGAGCCACTTTTACCCCCTCTAGTCGTTTATCCATTATGGCTTTACAGAGCAGAGCCGCAAAATCCTCAGTGCAAAGTACGAACAGAAGAGGGGACAGAGGATCCCCTTGCCGTAACCCCCTGGAAGGAGTGAAATACCCAGAAGGAGTCCCATTCATAAGAACCGAAAAAGACGACGATTGTATACACTCTCGAATCCACCCTTGCCAAATAGAGTTAAAGCCCATCTTCTCCAAAACAACAAGGAGAAAAGGCCATTCGACTCTATCATAGGCCTTTTCCATGTCCTTCAGAGCCATGTACTCTTTCTTACCTCGCGTTTTGATTTTTAGATAATGCATTAACTCATGCCCCAGTAGAATGTTCTCAACAATCTGACATTCACAGATGAACGCATTTTGACCCTCAGAAATAATTATAGGCAACAGACCGGCAAGCCGCTCCGCCATGATTTTAGTAATAATTATATAAACAAACTGGCAAAGGCTGATTGCGCGCAACTGGCGCACGGAGTCCACATTATCGACCTTGGCGATCAAAGTAAGCCACGTATGATTGAAACTACGGAGCAGCCGACAAGAAGAAAAGAAGGAACACACTGCCGCCACAACCGAATCTCCCACAACATCCCAAAAGGCCTTAAAAAGTTTGCCAGTGAACTCGTCCGATCCTGGCGCCTGCTTAGACCACATTGCAAACACCGTTTTACGCACCTCAGAGGGGAGAGCTTCAGCCGTAAGCCTGGCATTCATCTCTGGGGTAACACTACGCGCAATGGGCAAAGCTGCCACTCGCAGAGCCATATTACCCACTTGATTCTCCGTCGTAAAAAGGTGCTGATAAAAGGACACAGCGATATCAGCCTTTCCCTTCTCATCAGTAACCCACTCCCCATTCTCATTGTGAAGGCCAGCCACAAAATTTCTCTTTCGACGAGCCCTAGTCACCGTATGAAAGTAGGATGTATTCTTATCCCCTTTTTTCAACCATTGAACCCTGGACTTCTGCTGCCAATAAATTTCCTCCGCCTCCCATTGCCGATTTAATTCAACCTCCAATTCCCGGAATACATCCCAGTTAATCGGATGGATCAATTTAGCCCTATCAATTTCGCTCTGAAGAGTACGAATATTCCTCAGGGAGTTCGTAGTGTCGGCTCTACTCCAGTCATACAATAGGTGACGAAGTTTCTTAAGGCGTTCCCATAGGCAGAACATAGAGGTCCCTTGGACATCCTCCTTCCAGACATAGGTAACCATAGCCCTAACTTCAGGATTCTCCGCCCAGCGGGCATCAAATCGGAACAGAGGGAGACTATTCCGAACATAAGGCTTGTCTGACAGAAGGAGGGCTCTGTGATCAGACCCTTGATCCGTAAAGTGTTTGACCAAAGTTTCGGGAAAATGATCAATCCAGAGCTGGGAACAAAGGGCTCTGTCCAACCTTCACGAATGCACGCACTATCCATTCTCTTATTCGTCCAAGTGAAGAGGTCACCTTGGAACCCAGGATCATGGAGATCCAAATTATGAATAAAATCGCGCAAACTGGTCGAATTATTCCCATTCCAAGTGTTGCCCCCATCTTTTTCACTCGCACAAAGAATCGTATTAAAATCGCCAATAACCACATAGGGAAGAAGGAAAGCAGAAAAGATTTCCTGAAGCTGCGCCAATTGGTGGTTCGAACAGAAACAACACAACTTATATAAACACAAACCACAATATAAGAAAAGTCCACTTCATTAATTTGAGAACAAATACAAAAGTTGGACGAATAAATAACCGAAGAATTAACTTCCGGAGACCAAGCAAGCACTAACCCACCAGACGCATCAATTGCATCCACCAAAAAACAACGAGAAATATCAAAACCTAGACCCCGCATACGACGGGAGACAACACGCCGGCTCGATCGTGTTTCAGAAAAAAACACGAGATCCGGTTTATTCGAATAGACCATACCCAAAGCCGATTGGAATGTGAGGGAAGGTCCAATGCCCCTCACATTCCAGGCTAAAAGCCTCATTTATCTGGTTGGGGCAACTCCAGGCTGGCTTCCTCCACCTTTTCAAGCGCATCACCCTCCTCCACAAACTGTTTTTCAGCGTGGGCGGGACCCCCACCTCACCCTCAATGACCTCCAAGGGACGTTTCTTCAAACTAGGAGGTGGGTAGAGCATATTAGAACCATACTCATCAACCACCCCAATCCCCCTATCTTGAGGGCTAATTTGAGGCTCAATAACACAGACTGTGCTGCCAGCCATGAATGGCTCCACCACCTCGTCTGCAATGGTCAACCCCGCCTCAAAAGCTGCGACCACTTGGCTAACCCGACCCTTGGGAGGGGGGCCAGTCTTTTTAGATCCAGACGAGGGTGTCCTCTTTTTTATCATAAAAATTTGATCTTCTTCCCCCGACACTGAACCCTCCGAACCACCATCCGTCATAGCAGTCGTTATCATGTCCTCTCCCAAGATAATGGCAGGAGGGTTCATTGCCACCTCATCACTATCAAGGCTGGCCAAAATCACCCCGTCCCGCGGAGATGCTGCTTCAACCGGGGCTTTATCCTCCACACAAGCCTTCGCCTTTCGGAGCTTCCTACCACCACGCAAATTACCCGGCTGGGACTGCACAAGGCCAGCGGCAGCAGCAACTCCAACTCGGGGAGCAGCTTCTTGGACCATTTTCTTCAGCGGCTGCATTTTCGAGCGCCGAGACCTCCTCTTCACCGCTTTCTCCATCCCAGCTGCCGTCGGAGAACTGTGCGCCGCCTGGACCGTCAAAGACCCATTCAGCATAGGTTGCTGCACTGTAGCCTGGGCCGCCGCGGGATGCACGTCCACCATGTCGTCATCAGAATCATCCTCGAGGATAAGACGGCGGCGACGTGACTCTTCCTGGATCGTGGCAAATGAGGCACCACTCGACTTCGGGCAGGGGTCCTGCCGACCCACTGAAGCTGGCCGGGACTGGTCCGCCACCACGACGACAGGGGGTCCGTGACCCGCTTCTGGCTTCTTACAGGCCGGGTGTCTCTGCTGACCACTCCCCAGTCGGAGTTTCGGAGGGCGATTGAGGGCAAAGCCCCGCGGGCTGTGTCACGACCTTACTCTCGATCGTGCGGCCCTAGCTCTCAATTCCGTTAGAGCGCTAGGCAGCCTTTCTCTCAAACTCACAAGCAAGCTAAGAACAAGAGCAAGACAAAGGATTGGGAGAACTCTCTAGTGTATATTACTCTCAAAAATGATGGAATGCGTTACAAGTGAGGGAGATGGCTCCTTATATAGGCCTCTCCACATACAAGGCATCAATGCCCCTCATAATGGTCCCTCTACATCAATACACCCCATAAAGTCCCCCCATAATGCACTCTAATAATGCTACCCATAATGTAGCCCATAAGTGCACCATTAAGCTCTCATTTAGGTGGAGAATCCTAGGAGCATCTCTATGCTACTAGTCTTCCATGCATGCCACATGTGCAGCCGCCTTGTTGTCACCTTGTTGGCGCCATGTCATCTGCCACATGTGACATCCTCCCCCACCTATGCTCGCGACGCCCTCGTCGCGTCCTCTTGATGGAATGCTTCGATCAAGTCCTTGTTCTTCCAAAGCGTGAGCTCTTTCTCCCAAGTTGCTTCACTCTCCGGAAGGTTGCGCCACTTGACTAAGTACTCCACAAATCTTGGATGTACGCCACGACGAGGAATGACACGACGCGCCATGATTTCTTCGACTTCATGGTCGTGTGTCTTGGTGACGAGTGTTGGTGCGCGCTGCGGCTCCCTTCGCTGCTCGTCCTCCTTGTCTTCGTGGTAAGGTTTGAGTTGGCTCACATGAAAGACCGGATGGATCTCCAAGTGCGTCGGCAGCTCTACCTTGTATACCACATTGCCAATCCTCTTCACGATGGGGAATGGCCATTCATAGCGACGAAGCAGTCCCTTGTGCACGTTCTTGAGATGCTTGAAGCGATGAGGATAGAACTTGACCATCACCATGTCTCCCTCTTCAAACTCCAAGTGCCGCCGCTTCTTGTCCGCCCATTTCTTCATCTTCTTACTAGCGCGGGCTAAGTAAGACTTGGCCATCTCCATCTTCTCGTGCCAACCTTTAGCGAACTTGTAGGCCGCCGGACTGTTGCCTCTATACCCCGTTGCCACCGTCGTAGGTGTCAAAGGTTTTTGCCCCGTCGCCAACTCGAATGGACTTGTGTTGGTCGACTCGCTGCGGTGTAAGTTGTAGGAGAACTGTGCCGTGTCCATCAACTTCACCCAATCTCGTTGGTTTGCACTCATGTAGTGCCGCAAGTACACCTCCAACAAGGCATTCACTCGCTCCGTCTGTCCGTCGCTTTGAGGATGAAATGCTGTCGAGAAGTTCAAGTTTGAGCCCATGATCTTGAACAACTCTCGCCAAAATCTGCCCGTGAAGCGCCCATCTCCGTCGCTCACGATGCTGCTAGGAATGCCCCAATACTTGACCACGTTCTTGAAGAATAGTCGTGCCGCATCCTCCGCCGTTAAGTCTTTTGGCCCAGGAATGAACACTCCATACTTCGAGAATCTGTCCACCACGACCATGATGAAACCGCATCCATCGACTTTGGGAAGTCCGATGATGAAGTCCATGCTCACACTCTCCCATGGTCGTTGAGGCGTGGGCAAGGGCTCTAGCAAGCCTGCCGGGCTTCTCTGCTCCATCTTGTCTTGTTGGCACACAAGACAAGTCTTCACATACATCTCCACGTCGTCTCTCATACGCGGCCAGAAATATGCTTCTTCGATGAGCGCTTGCGTTCTCTCGATGCCGGGATGGCCCGCCCACTTGGAATCATGGCACTCCTTCATGATCTCCTTCCTCAAGTTGGCCCATCTTGGCACGAACACCCGCTCTCCCTTGGTCATGATGAGCCCATCCTTCATCCAAAACCGCCGAGTTTTACCTTGCTCAATGTACTCCGCTACGGTTTTGGCGAAGGGGTCATGGCCAAGGCCTTCAACGATCCGCTCCTTCAAAGGAAACGTGGGCTGGCTGAGGCTTGCGGCTGCACTCTTGCGGCTAAGAGCATCGGCAACGGAATTCGCCTTGCCTGGATGGTACTCCATGACGAAGTCGAACTCGGCCAAAAAGTCTTGCCACCTTGCTTGCTTAGGGGTGAGCTTCTTCTGCGTCAGAAAGTAGCTCGTTGCCACGTTGTCCGTCTTCACAACGAACTTTGACCCCAACAAGTAGTGCCTCCATGTGCGCAAGCAATGCACCACGGCCGTCATTTCCTTCTCTTGAACGGTGTATCGTCTCTCCGTCTCGCTGAGCTTCCGACTCTCGAAGGCAATGGGATGCCCATCTTGCATCAACACTCCTCCAATCGCGAAGTCGGACGCATCGGTCTGCACTTCGTAGGCCAACGTCGGGTTGGGGAGCACGAGCACGGGCTCCTTCATCACCGCTGCTTTCAAGGCCTCGAATGCTTCCTGGCACCTTTCCGACCAATCCCACGCCTTGTTCTTCTTCAAGAGATCCGTCAAGGGTGCTGCAATGTTGGAGTAGCCCATGATAAACCTCCGATAGTAGTTGGCAAGGCCGAGGAATGACCGCAATTCTAGCACCTTCGTCGGCGGCTCCCATTCTTGGATTGCCTGCACCTTCGCTCCATCCATCTTCAATTTGCCTCCACCAATAACGTGTCCCAAGAATGGAACCTCTGTGGCGGCAAATGTGCACTTTTCCCTCTTGACGTACAACTCGTTGTCGCGAAGGACTTGGAAGACTTGGCGTAGGTGCTCGGCATGCTCATCGAGTGTTTTGCTATACACGACGATGTCATCCAAGTAGACCACGACAAACCGGTCCAAGAATGGCTCGAACACTTGATTCATCAAAGTGCAAAACGTGGCTGGTGCGTTGGTGAGACCGAATGGCATCACAAGAAACTCGTAAGAGCCATACCTCGTCACACAAGCCGTCTTTGGCTCGTCGCCCTCTGCTATCCGCACTTGATAGTAGCCCGAGCGAAGATCTAGCTTGGTGAACCACATTGCATCTCCAAGCTGGTCGAACAAGTCGGCAATGTTGGGAATCGGCCACTTGTTCTTCACCGTCAACTTGTTGATGGCTCTATAGTCGATGCACATCCGCAACGACCCTTCCTTCTTCTTTTGGAACAGCACCGGTGCTCCGAAAGGTGACTTCGATGGCCGCATGTAGCCTGCGTCCACCAAGTCCTTGAGTTGCCTCCGCAATTCTTCTAACTCCGGTGGCGACATGCGGTATGGTGCTCGCGAAGGGGGCTTCGCTCCTGGCTCCAACTCGATCTTGTGGTCCACCTCTCTTCTTGGTGGCAGCTTCTTGGGCAACTCCGATGGCATCACATCATCGAACTCTTCGAGGACACCTTCGATGATGGGAGTTGTGATTCCCGTTGAGCCTCCTTCTTCCTCCATCTTCAAGGACACAAGAAAGGTTGGTTCATTCTTCTTGAACCCCTTCACCACTTGCATGGCCGATAGAGCACTATGGCGACCATCTTCTCTCAAGAGATGAACAGCATGGAACTCCCCTTCCTTCTCCAAGCACATCGTGTTGGAGTTGGGCTTCAAAAGCACTCCCTCCTTGTCGAGGAAGTGGATGCCGAGGATGACTGGGTGATCGTCCATGGTGACGACGGAAAAGTCGATGAGGCCTTCCCACTCGCCAAGCTTCATTGGTACGTTGTGAGCAACTCCATGGATCGGGATGGACTCCGAATTGATCGTCTTGAGCCTCCCTTGCCCCTTCTCGTAGGCAATACCCAGCCGGTTTGCCTCCTCGACGCGAAGAAAGTTGTCTGTGGCATCGGTATCCACCAAGGCTTTTGACTCGCCTTGCATGAATTGCGCCAGAACATAGCACCTCCCCCGCTTGCTCTCCTTGACGTCGGTCTTCGCCGCGCCAAGCTTGCGGATTGAGCCAATCTTGGCCTCCGCCGCCTTGGGCTCCTCATCTTGAGCTTCCATGGCTGCTAATCTCGCCTTCCTTGGGCAATCTCGCACTCGATGTGGTCCATCGCAAAGGAAACAAGTCATGGGTTTTGGCTCGTACTTACCCCCTTTGCTCGAACCTCCTTGGTGTTGTTGAGTGCGAGAACCCTCCTTGAAAGGCTTCTGCGGTTCTCCACCCTTGCTGGGCTTCGAACTCTTCTCTTTGCCGCTGCTCTCTTGTCGTTTGTACTCGACAAAAGACTCCGCCGTGGCCATGGCAGTTGCAAGGTCTTGCACTCCTCGACGTTGCATTTCCATCTTGGCCCATGGTTGCAGCCCATCAAGAAAGCCGTGCATGGCCTCCTTGTCCGTGATGTCCGGGATCTCTAGAAGCAGCTCCGAGAATTCTTTCACGTATTCTCGAACTCCACCCCTCTGGGTGAGTCTTCTCAACTTTGAACGGGCTTCAAACTCCACGTTCTCTGGGTAGAACTGCCTCTTGATTTCTCTCTTGAAATCTTCCCACGTTACCATCACACAAGTACCTCTTTCGACGTCCGCTTCACGTTGCCTCCACCACACCATTGCAACATCAACCAAGTATAGTGGAGCGGTACGGATCTTTACCTCCTCCTCTTGGATGCCGGACGCCTTGAAGTACTGCTCAAGACTCCAAAGGAAGTTCTCTAACTCCCTCGCATTCCGTGAACCTCCGAAGCTCTTCGGTCTTGGAATATCAGCACGTGGGACGGATTGCACCGTGGCTGGTCCGCTAGCCATGGCTCTCTTCACGAGAGTGACCTCACTCTTGAGATCTGCAATCTCCTCCTTCACGCCGACTAGCTCAGCCTGGACTTGCTCTTTCACAACTCCAATGGCGTTGTTCAAGGATGTGGTGATGGTGTTGTTGATGAGGGCCACAAGCTCTTCTCGTAAGCCATCATTACCAATCTCCAAGCTCGACAAATGAGCATTCATACCTTGAAAATCGCTTTCGACTTGGGTGAAGTTTGCTCCCAAATCCTCGATGGCACTGATGTCTTC